AATAGTATTCTTTCATTTTAGTAATCCTAATAGTAATCTCGAATCAAACGTGAGTGACGATGAGCACAATTAGAATTATTACGACAAGACACTTTAAATGCAATTTAAATGAAGAATGTTGCGTAGAAATTTCCAATTCCAATTTTGAACTCCTCCCTCTTAAGAATCCTGGCTGTGCTCCTACTTATAAATAATGTCATTTTTTAATTCCGCCTTTTTGCCATATTTCGAGGCTATATTGTTGTCCAATTTTATCAAAGCTGGTATTGCTTCTTTGAACAGTTACAAAATTAGCCAAGTCAGTATTTTGAAAAGTAACCGAATAGCTCGCGGAGCCCCTGGGTTTCTCTCGCGGAGCACTTTGAGAACCTATGGTCTAACTAACGTCTGGAACACATCATTTTCGGGGAGAACTCTAGCCCGCGAAACGTCATTTAATTTAAAATAGAGAATGTTTCACGCATTTCAAAACGGAAAATCACCAGTAAGTGGACAGGGATTCAACCCTCCGGATTCAGTATTCTATATCCCCGTGTCAGAAATTTCTGAAGAATGGAACAAAGAACCCGTCAAACCGCCGCGGAAGAAGGGGAGTATTTTTGCACTAATAATTAGGGCGTGACATTATCAAAATCGTCAAGAAACTGGTGAATTTGCAAATTCCATAAATAAAATTGTGAATTGCTCGGTAACATTTTAGCTATAATTATCGCCGGGGTATTGTTTTGTTGAAAACACGTTGAAACTTGAGGGAATTAGTTACAATTAGTGCCTGACCTCTATTAGGCACTCGAGCACTCGAAAAAAAAGCACTCGAGCCCAATCTTTTTAGCATTAAGTCGCATACGTAAAATATCCTGTAAAAGAAGTGCTGTTCATTAACGTCATCTAGTCTTATGACCACGCAGAAATGCCTTTATAGCCGAATTATTCAATCACTATTTCAAATCAACATTCAGGATTGGCACGATTTCAGATTTGCGAAGTTTATCATCATAGAAATACATGAGAATTAATTATCGTCTTAATAAATATCTGCATCACGGTATGGACAATAATATTACCATTCGCATAAAATTGGGACGGTAAATTTACAAATCTTGATAGATAATATTAAAGCCAACGCAAATGTTAATTTGAGTCCTCAATGTCTTCAACAGCTGTTGCCGATGTGAACGAACGGGTAAACCCGAAATATAAAACTTCGGTGTCCGCCGACCCACAAGAATTCATATTTGTAAAAAAGAGAGGGCGGGAATATAGATTACCCAAAACCTGGATATCGCCGCCAAAATGATCGGTGACAAGAACAATTAGCGATTACAACGGAATTAACCAATAAAAAGGCTTTTTTGCCGATTTTTTAATGTTTCCACCACGTTTATTCGGTACTCCTTAAAAATATTCGATTCCAAAAAATATTGAATTTTGCCCACCGTCCTCGCATATCAATGAGAAATAGTTGTGTAAATATCGCAAAATTCCAGAAAATGCCATGTCCTTTCAACATTGTGATTACAATAAAATGGCACTTAATGGTATTTTGTGAATTTGTTGATTTTGCAAATCTGTGACATGCTGCTAAAAGTTTCGCCCGATTTGAAAATCGTGCAGTTTGGTCACACATCATCCAAAGTGACTATAACACTTTACTAACACTTTTATAGTCATTTTGAATTCATGATATCATTGATAGTCACATGACCACTCTCGTTCAAAGAAACGCCCCGGGAGCGTTTTTTTTGCCGGAGAAACGGAATCGGTGTGCTTTTATAATAATCATATTATAAACAAGAATTTTGCCGTTAATGCAAAAGCTTTATCTCCTATGTCTGCATCTCATAGGTTAGAATTCCGGCAGAATTGAGTTACAAAAGTACTAGTATGTTACTTATTTGTCAACTTAATACTCGAAAATATTTGTTAACTTTGAATTTTTATTCCATTCAAAATTGGAAAAAAGTGCTATTTCTCTTCAAAATCGGAAAAAAGTGCTATTTCGCAGTCCCTAAAAAAAGTTGCGAAAGTGCTTCGCAATTTTCGCAAAAAAGTGCGCTAATAGTGAACACTGACCACCACTGCCAGCGCGCAGCCAGGATTTTCGAAATCGGAAATTCTCATTGCCGCCTGTAACACCCACCGCGATTCCGCGCTCGTTAAAAGAGCCGTCTTGTCAGCGTATAATGATCATTCTGTTACGTAAAATATTCAATCCATGACAACTACGAGATTCTAAAATATCTTTATATATTAATTTAATGTGTCCAACATAACTCGCGGTTGCTTCTTCTTACGTCAAAAAAAAACATTACTATTCGGTCCACGGCAATCTGTGACCTAAAATTACGAGATAAACTGCTTGATGTATTTAATTTCAATATGTATTTTTGCAATCTTGCCAACTCGTTATCGCCGTTAGAAAAATCTCAAATAATTATATAAAATCCTGTTAAGTGTAGAGAATAATTCATTTCATACAATAAATATACATATAAAGTTTAGCAGTAAATTAAAAATACATATTCATCGCCGCGATTATGCCACCTGTTAAAAGAGTCGACTTTTACAACAAATAATATAACAACGGTAAACGAATATATATTTTTCTGTTGTGCAAAGTGATGAATTCGTGACCGACACGGGCATATTTAAAATGTCTTGCTCTTATTAATTTAATTGTCTTCAATTTAACCTGCGGTTGCGTCGACAAAATAAAATCCTCACCACTCTTATATACCATTGCAATCCGCGGCCATAAAAATAAAAACGTGAGGTAACTGTCCGATTAAATATTGTTTTTATCCGTATTTTGCGAATTCGGCAAATATTTAGATGTACTTGTTAACAGTGACTCCGCTCGATCGAAATGCTCAGAGTAAAATATCTCAGAGTAAAATTTATTTCATCACAATAAAATTGATTGAATATACTTAAGATTAATTATATTATATACATCCTCACAACCAGGGAAAAAGTCGCGTTTCAAACCTTGTATCGTGTTAACCCGAAAATATTCGACGGCATATTAAAGTAATGGATAATCAGGCAAATCCCGCCCTCAATTAGTGACGATATGTTTCTAAACCCCGACCAAACATAATGTGTGCCAGAGGCACACGAAATTTTGCGATTTTCACTGCCTAGAAAAGCGTTTTTTAAATTTTCGCGGGCCTCAATAAAACTTTTGTTGTTTACCGTTTTATTTTCAGTATTTTAAATTGCCGCTTTTCAGTCAGAAAGTTGCGTTGTCTTTAGAAACTCGCCGCCGATGAACGCATTTACCAGATTCACAATTCCGTGCGCGTACAAAAATAAAATAAATGTTATCTTTATCGTGGAACAAATTTGTGGAAAATTTTCGTTTTAGAGAAAATAACACAATCGTAAAGGCGTTTACGGGCCTAAATAACACGTTACGCTGATGAGTGATAAAAACAATCACGCGCAAGTTTATATCGAGAATGTTTTCATTCAACGGAAACGTCTTGAAAGCGGCGTCGAAAATGTGTGACGTCACACAAATATCCGATATTCTTATGAACGTGAATTCCGATATTCGAATGACGAGATATTCGAATACATTCGAATACTTTATTCGAATTGGCCATCCCTGCCCACCTAGACTAGGTGGGCAAAATTTTTGGCCCCGAGTTCTAAAACCTTGCCCACCCCTACTCTATACTGTATTCCTGGCATCTGCTTTCATAAAATAATAGCTTCACACATCACATGTTGGGTTGAAATCCGTTCAAAATAGCAGCTCTTCTTTTACAAGGCCCTGTTGGGAGCAACTATTAGATTTGTCAATAGCCATGTCCAAAGACTACTTTGAAGTGTGAGTATCACAAAAAATTTATGAATAAATTTGTAAAGTCTGTAATTTTGCTGCTAAGATTGCAACACAAACATAATATGTATTATGTCCTTTGGTCTGGTTCGGTCATTTGGTCTGGTTTGGTATTTCTGTCATAATAAAATTTGTCAGTAGCCATTAGCGAATGTCCAAAGTCTAGTTTGGAGTGAGATTAAGCATCATAAAAAGGAGTGTAAGAATGAATTTGCTGAGCGTACAATCCTGTTGCTAAGTTATTAAGGCAGATATAGTAGAATAGTTGATGGATTTAATAGCCTGGTGGTTTTTTGTTTGCATTGCAATTAATAGATTTCATGGTTTAGTATTTCCTCATTCATCAATCCACTTTGGGATTAGGGTACGTACCTGGATTTTTTATGAGGATGAATGCCATAAATTTTATTTTTATTGGATATATTGGAGTGATATATCAACATTATTTGCTGAATATAATTTCATTTTAAACCTTTATTTGTTCAATCGTTATTGGACCAATAATGTATTGTTTTACGCCCTGTCAAACTTCCATTTTGTTATATTTAGTAGTTTATTATGTGTTTATGAATAATTATTATTGTAATAATGAAAAACTGAAAAAATTCTGATGGTACTACAGGTACAGCGAATACGGAGCAAAATTCCTTCCAAAAATCGTGATAAAACACTAAAAACCTTGCAAAAACCCTGAAAAACCTTAAAATTTCAGTGTTACTATAGGTAAAGCGAATATGGATTAAAATTCCTCCCCAAAAACCTTGAAGTTTGAAACAGTGAAAAACGGTCAAAAAACCTCGCAAAAACAATCACAACGTCTCAAAAACATGCAAAAAACAAAAATCGTTGAAAATCTTGCAAAGACAGGTAAAAATCTTAGTGTTTACTATAGCTAAAAGCAACGCGGAGCAAAAATCCTCTCAAAATACCTTACGAAAACAGTGGAAAACCCGTCAACAATTTTGCAAAAACAGTGAAAAACCGGTTCCTCCCGGTTGAAAAACGTTTCTTTATAGTGTAAAATAGGTCTTGCCATTTGTGGTCGCCTGTAACTTCACTTAGGGGCGGATCATTTTCTTTAATTTCTGATTGAGTTCTTGTGCCTTTGCTTTGAGCGAAGTAAAATAAACTATCAGCTATTACACTGTTACAGGAATGCATATTTCTTAATCATGGGGCATTTGGCGGAGTTTTGAAAGAAGCATTAGAGTATTCACAAGGATGGCAGAGATATATTGAACGAGAACCAGTGCGATTCTATGATCGTGTTTTTTTCCCACAACTCATTCATGCACAAAAAAGATTAGCGGAATTTGTTGGTGAGATTCGATTGTATTTTCCATTTGATTTAGGTGAAAAATTCCGCAAGAATTTTCACTTTTCTGGATATATATTTTGCCAAAATGGCGTAGTTTGGAAGCCAACTCAGGATGAAAATTGAATTTTTTGCATTTCAAACCATACTTTGCTCAAAACAAGTAACAATCTAAAGAGCTACTAGATCAAAGAATCTTTTCTGTCTCCCCAATATACACGGTGTCCATAGTCCCTTTACAATTTCATTTTTGTTATGAAGTCAGTTCTCAATATATCTTAACCAGGTTTGTTGTTTTTCAATCAGTAATTGTTTAAGTATTTTTACTTCATTTAATATATCTTCGAGGGCCAAAACAATATATGGTATCGATAAATTTTATTTGCAATTTAATTTTTTTTTGTGTGGACAGTGGACACCCTAGATTACTTCTGCCCAAGGAAGGTGGCCGTCATGGGATAGACCTAGACTTGAACTGAAATCCAGCCTGATTTGACCAACGAAAATTATTGCCATCCCAAAGAGTCAACCTGGTTCAGCTTTTCCACCCAATTTATCATACTTTGGGTTAAGTGGTGAACATAGGAATGGAACTGAGATGTGTAATCTTCGATGCTATCATGGTTAAGTCTAATCAAGTAGTTCCCAAACTTTATGAGCCTCGCTACCCTTTTAGAATTTGTCAAGGATCGCAGCCCATCTCCCCTCAAACATAACTAGCTAACAATAAGTTACAAACAACAGTAAAAGTAAGGTGAAAGTATGTTTTATTGGAAAAACACGTTAAAAATACATGGATGGAAAGTAAATATTCAAAAAAGGGGGGCAAGTTCGAATCTAACGAATAATTTTATTTTTAATTAGCTACACACCCCCTCAAAAATTTGTCCACGCTCCATCCTCTCCCACCTTTTAAGAATCACTGGTCTAATGCTTCCATTGTCAGGCCATTTCAAGAACACGAACTGGGGATTTTTAATCAGCAATATGATTGAAGCAACTAATCATTAGAGATCTATTTACTTTTGAGGACCAGAGCGGTTCTTCTATAGTCAGGTTCTATGCTTTTATTACTATGCCTGTTGAAAAATGATATTAATCACTCCAAAACTACTTAGGTGCATTGAGTTCATTAACTTCACAGAAATATTTTCACCATTTAGGTTGTGATGTTTCAGACTTGGTGCTTATAAGCAATGCAACATCAGCTACTAACTCAGTTCTTCAAAGTTTAAACTTGACTTCAGACAGCACCATCTACTATCTCAATACTACTTATGGTAGGTTTAATTCATTTCTTTGTAAATGTGACTCCTGGCACTACAGTGTCTGCTGTGATATCATTGGCTGCTAATTTATTTGACAAGGTAATCTACTATCTTGAGATAGGTTCAAAATTTATTTCAGGATAAATGTGACTACTGGCATCATAGTGTCAGCTCTTGAGACCAACTTGCAACTCTTCTGTCAGTACTCTTTTCACTTTTAGTTGAGGGCTCAGGACCTTGCTTTGAGCAAATTTGTAACTATCCCACCAATAATCTTTTAGGATAGGATAGGATTTACATATTTATCTTAGGGGAGATGAAAGTGGATAAGACGGCTTATCCATATGGTGAACCACGGCCTCTCGTCCAGTTACCATTCCAAGTCGGGTATGGGATTAGTTATATTGTTTGTTTTCGGAAGCATGGACTTGGTGGTGGAGGAAGCCGCAACCGACCAGCGGTTACGTGAACCACCCAACGACAGCGAGGAGTCCAGCAATCCTCTCGTACATAACCATCCCTGCATGGGATTCGAACCTGCGAACCCATGCAGAGTAATTAGAGGTGCGGTGGCGAGGGTATTCCTAACGCTTAGCCCGTTGAGCCACACCGCCACGCCGCCGCTTTGAGTTGAGGGCTTTGGGACCTTGCTTTGAGCAAAACTTCTATCAGTGTTCCTTGCTCTTTTAGTTAAGGGTTCATGACCTTGCGTTGAGCAAACTTGCAACTCTTCTGTCAGTACTCTTCCTACTTTTAGTTGAGGACTCGGGGCTTTGCTTTGAGCAATCTTGCATTGAAAACATTGTTATAAATATGCTTATTCAATAATCAGGTGCAGTGAAAAAGAATATCAAATACCTCAGCGAAAAAACAGGAGCTAAAAGACAAGAGGAAAAAATTAACTTTCCAATAAAAAATGAAGATGAAATCTTAAATCTTGTTGATCGTACCTTGAAAGAGAAAACAACTATTGCAGTGTTAGATCATATACCCAGCAACTATGGATTCATTATGCCTGTGAAGAAACTTGTAGATCTTTGCCATAAAAGGTGATTGTGGTTTTTATATGTGGTTTTATATGTGGTTTTTATATGTTCTAATACCTTCTCAATCTTTTGGTGTTACAGAGCCTATGAAGAGGTTGACTATTGTTTACAGAGACCCACAATAAATTTATAAAAAATATATTGTTACTTACCAATTATTGTCCATGAGTAAACTAAAGGTGCTTTGTTAAATGATTTGCTGATTTGTATTTAAAAAATATTGAGTATTCTAATGTAATGAGTAAACGAATAGCTCGCGCAGCGCCTTGGTTTTTTATCACGAAGCCTTGGGGCACAATATGGAGCATCTTGGAAAGTATGTTTTAATATGTAACAACGTGAAAGAGATGCTCAAAATGTATGGACATAAAAAGGCATAATTCAGACAGGCCTAAGCTGTAGCAGTTTACTTTGGCAGACAAGCGTGGCGAGATAAGTGTTGATAGGTGTTCTCATTTCAATAAAAATACTATGACTGCGAAATTTTGGGTGAAATATATTGTGTCCCATAAGAAGTTTGTAAACTAATAGTCTTTTGGTGGCTTGAACCCCCTTCAAATATTAAACATTTGAAACTAATTGCTCCATTAGTTGCAAGAAAAAGGATTTTTCCACAACAACAACAAGATGTAGTTTCGAACTGCCGATATGTCTTAATTCTTCTCGGCAGTTTGGCGCATCGTGCTAAGCGGTAGGAATACGCTCACCACCACATAGGTTTGAATTCACGTGGTGTTATTTATGTGCTGTAGGATTGTTTGACTCTTCGCCACCATAGGGTAGTTCATGTAACCACTGGTCGGTTACGTCTCCTCCACCATCAAGTCCATGCATCCGAAACAAATAACTGACTAACTAATCCCATACCAGACATGGAGTGGTAACCTGATGAGAGGCCGTGATTTGTTATATGATTAATCTGTCTTATCAGGTTTCTTCTCATTCGGGATGTAAATCTACTCATTTATATTTCAGGGGAGTACCAGTTCTCATTGATGGAGCACATGCATTAGGTGCTCTTTCTCTCAATCTAACAGATCTTGGTGCAGATTACTACATATCAAATGCACATAAATGGTTATGTGCACCAAAAGGATGTGCTTTTCTATATGTGAAAAAGGAACTGCAACCAACAGTGAAAAGCCTCGTTGTTTCGCATGGATTTGAGAGCGGATTTCAGTCACAATTTTTGTGGACAGGTTTGAAAGTCTTCTCCGTTTATCAATTTGAATGACCTATCATGGACTGTCTGGCCAGAGGGTCATGACCACTATTTTATTAAGCCGTCTTATTGCCTCCAGGAATAATATGTTGAGAATTAAGCTTCTAAGCTTCTTCATAACAAAGCTTAATTCTCAACATAATATCCCTGGAGGCAATAAGACCGCTCAAACAAATGGTGGTCATGGCCCTTTGGCCAGACAGTCCATGATGGGTTTGGGTATAGTTAACCAGGTACTTGCTTTAAACGCATTGACTAAATGATGAGGTAAGCTGTAAGGACAACCAGTTATGTAAACCACAATATGACAGTGACGATTCCTGCAATCTGCTTGCACATAATTACCCTTCACAAAATTCGAACTTCCACAGGATAATCAGAGGTTGAATAAAAGTATGCTCTGATATATGGAGTATGATATAATTCGGGAAGCTGTCAATCAAACCTTAAGTGTAATAAAGACAGGCGTTTACATTTTTGGGTGAAATAGCCCTGTGGTGGACATATTGAGCCCAATTTAAGGTTTCACTGTTCAACCCTCATGCCTTTCACCAAAACTTGTAGGGTCACATTTTTGCCAGAACAGCCATAGACTACTTATAACACTATCACCCTGAAGTGTGCATACCACACCCTTTAAACTTGACCATTCTCCCGTTTTATAGTATGTGGTATCTTCACTCAATGGTATTGTACTTATTGTAATTACTATATTTACATGCAGTGTGTTTCATGTTGTGTTGTGTCTCTATTTATAGATGTTGTTTTGTTATACAAACTCTTTTGTACAAACAGTTTTGTATACTCCACCCCTATCTCTGTTACCACACCCACCCACCCTCCTTGCACAACTGTCTGTATAAAGGACCATATTATACATATTTGATTCACCTTATTATAATTTATACATATCAAAAGGGGTGTATGCCGCACATTCGCGATTTAGGCCAGTATGGTCTTGTGCGTACATCCGGTCTTCAGTATTTATAAGTACTAATTCTTTTATATCGCTTTTACGAGATGAATAAACATACATACATAGATACTGCTCACACCTACTATGTGATAACATTATTTCCTTGTTCAAATCAAAAATGTGAAATTTGTTTTTACATTTTTTCAGGTCTGAAAGACTATACTGCTTTTCTATCTCTCCATGCGGTGCTAAATTTTTGGAAGCAAGTCGGTGTGGAAAATATTAGAAGTCACGGCAGAGAATTGCTGAAAAAAGCTGTTGAAACTGTTACAAAGAAATGGAAATCTGAATTAATAGCTCCATTAGTAATGAATGGTGAGATAATTCATATATTTTATGTATGAAGGAGAGAATATTCGTTTTGGATGTGGAGTGTCCAGGGTACTCCAGTAGCGTGTGTACCAGGTTAAGGTTAGGCCATAATTTTATTCCGATTTTTCATCATTTTTGTTCTATTACAAGTTCGGTGACTGTCTTTGTTACCAAGTGAGTAATATACCTTCTGCAATAGGCTTCAGTTCTTTTACACAACTTGATATTAGGCCATCTTTTCGATACTCCTGTAGTGTGTGTACCAGATTACAGCATAGTTTTATTTTGTGTTAGGGTGCTGTCTGTGTTAGCCAATGGGCTTCACTTACACAATTTGATGTAAAGTAGGCGAACAAAATTAGTTACCTCCATATTGGTACACATATTTCCGGAGCGCCTAAAAATCTTATCTCAATTCCAGGTTTTCTCTGCTGCGTATCTCTACCTTCATCATCATATAGCGAGAAACCAGATGCATCATTTGAGGATGGGGAAGCAATACAAGAAAAATTATACCACGACTATAATATAGAAGTTCCAATCAAATGTATACAGAATAAATTGTATGTCAGGATATCTTGTCATCTACATAATGAAATAAAGGATTATAAAAAGCTGGCTGATGCTGTATTAGAAATTTCCAAATCTTTATAGCAAGAGCTTTAGATTTCTTTCAATTTGATTTTCTATGGCATTATTTTCTGCCCGACTCCCATTAACTATTATTTTCACAATAGCTCATGAGTTTAATTATATAACATTGATTTGCACATTTCTAAACTGTGAAAAACATTGTATGTACTTTTGAACAAAAAAATAAATGAATACATCGAAAAACGTACAATGTTTTGACTGCAATGGATGAGAGGCAGCGAAAGATTATCAAAGCACATTGGTTGAAGGTAGCAATAAGTAGCTTCAAAAGGAATTTAATAAAAATGCGTGTGCTTGTGTATCAAGGATGATCCCAAGAGATGATTAGTATAAGCTGTGATAGTTGCTCAAATGGCCCTATGTTTTCATTTTATATTTCACACCTTATGGGGCACAATTTCCTGGAGGTTAAAGTTAACTGTCTTGGCATTGCAGGTCAAATATCTGGTATCCAAATGCCAAGCCTATCTCTCACCTTACCCAGGGTGTGGTGTAATAAAGTGGGTAGGGAAGATTCCAGTCCTTTCAAAGTTCCCAAGAGCAGCTACTTTTGGTCCAGCATAGCCAAATTATTGAGAGCCTGAAAGCGGTGTGGTGATAATAGCCAACCAGTGCCCAAATCCAAAATTCCAACTCGAAAAATCGTGGTTTTATTTACCACACCTTTTAACAACTTATTAAAAATCTCACATTTTTGCAGTAGTGGTGGGTTTTTTTGTACATGAGATCCCAGCCTTTTTATCAAGTTGTTAAAGGGTCTGGTAAATAAAATCACTACCTCCAGTTGAAATTTTGGACTTGGGCAATATTTTAGAAAATCTGGTTTTGAATTTAGCCCATCTATTGATATGTTAATCTCACTCTGTTGAAGAATTGTTATGTCTGTATGCTTGGGCCACCTTGTGTATTTGGGCATACTGTTGGTTTAACAAGACCCTATTCAAACACTATGAAACTAAACATAAAGTATCAGACTGCCTGTAATGACTTTTATTAGAAATGTTGCATTGGATTTTCCATTGATAATAGAACAGTTATTTTAAGACCTCCATATATATTCATTTCAAATCTCTCGCTTCATAATACATTCCTTTCTTTTTTAATCTTCGTATTGATCTATTTTTTTGTTTATTAAAAAACTCTTGCCTAGTTTGGCATAAGTCCATGTCTGCAATTTTTTTAAAGTGGCTATCGCCATCATGGAGAAGCAAATCACCATGTATATAGTTTTCAACTTCTTCCCTGTTTTCCGATGTTAATTTTGACATAGCGTATTCACAAATAGTCCTTGTAATTTCACTTTTAATAGCTTTTCAGACCAGATTTTAGCGATAGAGATAGCAGTTGTTTTCTAACGCCCCAACAATCCCAGCGCCAGTCCACAGCATTGTTATGGTATTCAGAGTCAAATAAAAGTAACGGTATAGGCGCCATCGATGAATAAGTGGGCCGTCCTTTGAATTAATCAATATCAAGTAAATCGTCTATGACTGACGGGCATCCCGACCCATTTCCAATGAGATTATAAAATTGAAACCAATAAACCTGACTTGACGATACAGAAAACCTTGCCCCCGTCACTGTGATCGCACAAATATCGAATTCGTTTTTACAGCCACTACCATGATTTGATACGACTTCAATATCAATATTTTTGATAACACGTACAGCGTCCTCTCTCATACTATCAGCTGATAATTTCGCAAAATTACTAAAATCATGCTTCCCGACAAATTTTTGTGCACACTCTCTTCATAAGGTCAATGTCAAGATTTCCTCGTGGTAAAAAGTATCTATAAGTTCGCCCCAAACAAGCACGACGTGGTGAAAATTTTCCTTGTACTGGTGACCATGCTATTACTCTGATGTCTTCAGGAAGAGCTTCATTGAGTAATTTCACATACGGGAATCTCCCTTCGTCTAGTGATCTATCTGATAAGTCATACTTCTCCATTCTTCGATTTTGGCAGACCCTTCGTTCAATTTCAGGCCACTATCTTGATCTGTTGCATTTCCTGGTGCTAAGTTGATTGTTGGATTCGACAAGCCTGCAAAATATAGATTTATACTTAAGAGACAGTCTTGCACAGCTATTTCTATGGTTACCTAGATTACGGTGCTTGGAGTCGAGTTTCTTTATTTAAAACGCCGACTGCTTTGCATGTAACAGGTGGCCTTGACATACCTGTTGTTTGAATAACATATTTAGTATGTCTTTATACTATTTATCATGTTTTATTAGACTGTCTCGCGGGTGCCGCCGCTCGATACCCAGAATTGGTTTTCGACGTCTACTTTCACCCTGAAGTGTGATTTTTAAATTATATTTGAATTTGTGTATGTATTGTTGGTATTTTCAGTATGGTGAAGGAATAAATTACTGGAAATGGTCATAGATTTGAATTACCTTCATTAATTCCATCTGGTTTTGCCCGGTTCATATTCGACGTTCTTTTTCTTTTTGACCGCCACAGACCATAAGCCCCATCTAAGTTACTTCTCACATTCACTGAAATTACTTGTGCAAGCCCGCTCACGCCTTTGTCAGTTCTCCCACATCGATCCAAATTAGTATGATGAATATCTTGAATGAGTTGTTTTCGGAGTAGAGCTTCTAAGAAGACTCTTTCCACCACATTTGTGTTGCCTTTGATTAATTTGTTAGAATTTTCACTCCATGCGTACCCCATATAATCCCAACCAAGGTACACAACTTTAAATGCTATACGTCTCGAATTATACGCTTTAAAGTTAATTAAATCTTCAATATCTGGAGGTTTTATCCGAATCTTAGAGTTCCCTTCCGTGTTATTAATTCCAAACGTATTTTCGTAACTATCAATTTGACGTTGCATTTGTATTACTTTATAAACTAGTTGTGATTTTCTTATATCAAATAAATGTTCAAAGTCATGCGAGCCTTTGTTATACAATCTGAATAATTCTTTTTGTTTTTCAATGTCTGCGTCTGCCAATATAGTTTGTTCAATTTTGTTACTATGTTGGCAACATTGAACCAAAATGAGTGAATGTCTCTTCACTTGTGGAACAAGTCGTCTGCACTTACGATATACATGATTCATTATTGTGATATTTAGTAATCTGTAGAAATAGTGATCAAATCATTTTAAGTTCTCAACTTGCTATTCCGTCTTCAGGTATGTAAAAAATGACGTTTTATGACACTATTACCGGTATATTCACAAGGTTATGTACCGGATTTTAGGTCATCATGCGAAATTTTATCTACTTTTTTTCATCTAACCCTAAAGCCAAATCAATCAAAACTGTATTCCTATGGGAAATGTTCCGAATTACAATACCCAAAATGTGTTACCAGCAGGGGCATACCGTACCTTCCATTACAGCCTACATGCCTTGGTTTTGTGTTTTTAATTTGCTGCCGTGGTACCGGTACCCCAACTCAAAAAAAAAAGTACCCCAACTAATTGCAGAATTTGAAATGTTGCGATACTGATCTGAATAAGCAGGCACGGCACCAAAATCGGGCATTTGTCTTCCAAACATACCACGCACGATAATAGGTTTCCAAATTAAAACACTTGCTAAAATTCACCAAATGAGAAACAGGGAAACCACGGAAGCACGTTTTTATCGAGGTGGTGCCAGTGGCATTATATCTTATGGCAGGCCCGGACTTTTATTGAATTAGATTCATATTCACATTGAATAACAATTAATAAAATAACATTTGAAGATAAAATTATTTTATCCTTTTTTGTAGATATAAACGGCAAAATGACATGACAATGGCGTTATTACCACTGATGCCACCAATGACATACCGAGGGTAACCAGGTGCCAAATAAACAAACATACTCGTATTTCACGTGGCAGACCCTTCGTATAAATCTCGAAATGCAACGTTTGTAATAATGTAGATATAGTGTTACTCCAAACTGTGATATTTTTATCTTATTTTGTATGGCGCAACGCGCAATAACTTTAGCTTGGCTATGTGCCAGTCTACACTTCATTTTTACAGTCTTAGCACACTTCCTGTTATTGTTACTGTAGATTGAGTTACTGTTACTTGAGATTGCTGTTTTTGTTACAACAGTAAGTTGTAAGTCAGTAAGTAGAGTAGGGTAGTTTGGAACAATGGGCTTGAATTTTTAAGATAAATTATTCCCGTAAGATGCTTATTCAGATACAGGTAGCAGAGATTTTCCATTCTCAAGGGCAGAGTGATGAAAGTGTAAACCATTGAGTCTCTACAAGGACTGCTGAGTTTGGCATGTTTTGCTGGAGCCATCTTTTTAAACCCGCTGTAGCCTTTTCTAGTTGTCGGGTGTCGGAATTTGAGAGATTCAGTGGTGATAAAATGAGTCAAAATGCACTATAGCAGCGGTTCCCAAAACTATCGTATCGTAGCGTGTTGTCAGCTGCGCCGTGGAAATTAACAGAATTGTGTTAAACATAACTAAAATATGATTTAACATTTTATATATTGTCTTTGTTATAAATGTTTTATTGTTTCCTATTTTAAATGTTGTGTATATGAATCAATAAATTCTTTTTACCTTTTCTTGCATATTGGTTGCATTCTGTTACTAGTGCAGTAGTGTCTGTCTGCCTCTGTTGTTATGTAACAATAGATGAACTCTTGTTGCAACGTTGTTAGCTGCAATTTATATATCTGCTGAATCGAGTTCAGCCGACAGGCAGAGTTTTGGATAAAGAGTTGACTTTTGCCTTTATTCCTTAGGCATATATTTTTACCATTGTGAAAGGGCATAAAGTACACAATAACGATCCCGATATTGAGTCTTATTAAAGAGCAGCATTTTTTTGTTTTTGTTTAAGTGCTCCATGATTATTGTTTCCTGATAATTTGGCACCGCACGAACAAAAAGTTTGGGAACCGCTGCACTATAGGAACGAAAAAGCATTAGATTTACTAAGCGTTCTAAGCAGTATATTGTAGAAGGTTTGCATATACCAACATTTTTGTTTCAAAATGTGATTTTCTCAAGACTTTGAAGCTAGAATCGGAGTCAAAATTTTATTAAACCCGAATGGAGATCAATAAGTATTTTTTATTGCAGCAACATTCTATTTACATATTGTGTTTTGTACATTTTTTTATTACAGTATTGCAATAACACACTTTTGTTCACACTATTCAAGATGAGAATATTGACGATGATCTTGACACAGTAACCTGGATAGACACCAGATTAACTGAATCGCAACTTTCAAGGTATAAACGTATTTGGTCCCCTTCCAATTTTTTTTATTTTAGTTCTGTTACGAGTTCAGGGACTAGCAAAGTGACTCCCGTAGTATTTGTACCTGAAATTATGGCCTAACCCTAACCTGGTACACATACAACATTCCGGTGTCCGCCATCTTGGTTCACATTCTTCAGGAGCGCGAATTTATTATAAGTGAATGACATATATATACTGAACCCCAACGTTCCAAGTACAAACCGCATGGTCAGTAATTTTCGAGAGAATACAATAGCAATTTTATTATGAGAAATAGTTCTCATACAGTCTATACTTTTTTTGCTATGCTCTCTCATCTTTACTTCAAACAATGCTCTTTATAGGTGGCCACTGTTACACAACCACTCTGAAACCTTTCCAATTCGGCCTTGCCCACACAATTATATTGAGGTATATATAAGTATAAGTTTATTTTGACTCTATAATCAGCATAACACGGGATAAAAACAATTGATAAAAACAACTGAACAATTGATAAAATTAATCAAAACTCATTATGAAATCGGGAGAGCAAACAAAAGCCTAGATAAGGCTTATAACGTACAGAATGTAAGATGGAAGATTTTGCCAAGAATAAAAGGTACGTGTTCACTCATCTAAAATTATTAAATTATTTCACATGTGCACCCACCACACAACCACAGAGAAATTATTTGAATAAAAAAGAAAACGCGATAAGCTTAGGGTAAACTACTCAGTAAACAAAATAGTAAAAAAATGTGGGCATTGGTTTTGAATCAAAGATGTTCCGAGACCTAAATGTTTAAACACTACTTTCACATTGCACTTATAATTAGAAATTATTTTCTGTTTCAGTCCCAGCATGGAACTAGTTCAAAGTAGTGAATCTTCAGTCCAAAGTATTCTACAAGCATTGGGTTCGGGAAAAGAAATATCACAAGTATGTTCAACCAGTGTCGGTGAAGCCAGAGTTGTTACTCAGAATGTGCAAAATATGATTGTATTGAAGCAAGGTAACCGTTTTATTTTGATAATTCTATTTATATGACCATTGCTTTACCCTTATGCATCTAACAAGTAGCAACTGCTAGATGAGGGGCAACTGAAGTTTGTAAAATATGTAATCTCTCCTTTTCGGATTTGCCTACCCAATACTATATACTGCTAACCGAACGAGAGGCTATGGTTCACTATATGGTTAAGCTGTCTTATCGCCTTATTTGCTTTCCTTTGCCCCAGGATAAATATGTAAATTCATCCTAAAAGTCTAACCCTTTAACCAGTGGACAGTTATATTTTGCAATTGTGGCAAGGCTTTCCATTTTGTTATACTTTTTTGTTCAAGTCGTCATTTCGTACAAGTGCGATCAGAGTTGTGCGCATATGAGCCACCCCTTGGTTTGGCAACTTTTTGTTTCAAACTCTTCTTATACGGATTTTCTCACCGATACCGATACCAACTAGAAACGCCTATAACGATATTCGAAAAAGCCAATATATTTCGATACCGATACTATGTAACTATTACTTCAAGTGTGTAGGGCAGATGGGTTAAAACAATAGTGTTTGAGCTTATTAATAGTTAACACTTTTTTCCGACTGAGAAAGATATATATCACATTAAAAGAAATTGATGCTCATGATCCACAGGCGTTAATTGTTTCAGACGCATAGGGCGCTGATGCCAGTAATCTCGGTGTTAAATTAAAAAACTTATTTGGTTTGGCTACTGTTGATGGTGGAATAAATAAATGTTTCCCTTATTTTTCTATCAAACTGATACAGTCTGGGCTAATAATAATGTCATGTTTTGTATTTTACACATCACAACATTCACGAATATTCTATAATTTTTGATATATAATATATTTCTTCATGATTACCATTTACCAGGTATTATTGAAGATGTCAAAAATATTTGGCAGCGAAAACATGCAAATTAGTTGAGTTGGTTTGTCTGATAATTAGCTAAAAACAGGTGATAATCTTATTCCCGTTCCCATACTTGCTGGGGTAGGGAGTGCATGGCTCATAGCTCACGCTCCAACCGAGCAAAAAATAATTTCAAGATCAGTGTTATAACTTATTTCTTAAAATATTCCGGTTCATCTTGAAAAGCTAAATATATCAGAAATATCGGTCTACATTTAGCCGATACATATACATTACTATTTACTGATTCCAAAAAATGGCCGATATTGCCGATACCGATACATCTTTAGTTGAAACGGAAACTTAGTGCTTAAATATATATAACTAAAGATTGAATACACTACAATATTGCTTCTGATTTCAGACCACAATGTCAATGCTGCAAATGTCTTCTCTGGTTGTTCTGATTTCAATCTGAGACAGAGAGAAGTGAAAGCGGGCAATCCAACAAACTCAGATGAAAAACCAAATCCATATGATGAGGATACGAATCCCTTTCCAGGTAAGATTTTTTAGGTTTAGATTTTTATTCTCAACATTTTTCTACATGCAATTTTGCGGCATTTGCAGTATGACATAAATTCATATGTCTTTTCCGACACCATTTTGTTCTATTCCGGAACGATATACTGAAAACCGGGTGTTCTGACTTGCTATCAATAATCATTATTCAACGAGACAGACAAAAATCTGCGCTTATATGCCTTGGATAACTTTGACAGCAAAGTATGTCTGAAGAGCGATATAGGTACTTCGTTTTTTGGAACTTTATAATTTTATCCCATATCCACCTGACTTTTATCCACCTGACCTTTTTGCAACATCTTCAGATTTTAAATTCTGCCCACAATAAACCTTACGTTTAGTAATACTTTTTATGTTTCAGATTTCATCCGTCTGAATGAATCCATTTTTCTGAATCACCATGAAAAAATTTCAAAGCACGGTGAAGTCTTTAAAGGATGGCAGATTCATGACAAATTTGGCCGAAAACAAATTGCTGTTAAATCGCTAAAACACAATGAAGATAATGAGAGAGAAGCAAAAATACTTGTCAAGCTTTGCCCGCATTCAAATGTTGCCAATATTATACAATCTGGCGTTTACAACACTGGGCCAATCAAACATATATTCATTGCAATGGAGCTATGTGGACCTCAAAATCTGACCGAATTTGTAAAACAGAAAGAGGAAATTGAGAAGAGAATGATATTGAAATTGTCAGATCAACTCATCAATGGCATCTCCCATATTCATAAAAATGAAGTTATTCATCGAGACCTTAAACCTGATAATATTTTGGTATCTGATGATGGAAAAGAGTTGAAGATAATCGATTTCGGGCTGAGCAAAGAAATGAAAAGTGGACGATCTGTCACTAATTTGAGTACCTTACGGGTTGGGACAGATGGATGGAGAGCTCCAGAAACATACAACGCTGATGTTATATCCAAAAAAGCTGATATTTTCTCGATGGGACTTGTTATGTATTTCATATGGACCAAAGGATGTCACCCATTTGGCAATGACCCTGATGACTGGAATCGCAATATAAAACGAAACCAATATCGTGACCTTTCCAAACTCCCTAATGTAGTTGAAGATTTAGTGGGCTGGATGCTTAGGTTTGATCCATGTGATAGACCGAGTTTGAAAGAAATTCAAGATCACAAATGCTTTTATGGGCATCTCGTATGCCCATTACCAAAATTGCGTGAGTGAAACATATAGTTCAGTAGTTGTCAAACTTATTAAGCCGCACCCCCTTTTTAGAATTTGTCAAGTCTCGCCATTCATTGAAGCAGACTGAATATAGATTTATTCTGTAGCATATGTTACGGTAGATTCTAGCTAACACAAGACTTGTTTAATAGACTTTGATCATTTAGGACCAGTCCTACATTAAAATGCTCAAAGTTGCTCAATGCAACCTTGATAGTTTTCTCAACTTTTCATATTATGTTTTTCAGTCAATGTTAATTCCGGTAGTCTCGAAGAAGAACTCCAGAAACAAAAAAATGAGACAGAAAAAGCTAAACAAGAATCTGAAAGAATGAAACAGGAATTTGCAAAAAAGATGAAAGAAATGGAATTACGAATGAAAAAGAAGAATGAGACTGTTGCAGGTCAGTGAAATGTAATCCCGTTGTAGTTTGATGGTCACCTTCACTTTGATTAAGATGGTGCCCTCTTTGTTTACGACTGTAAGTGAATGACAGTGCATGTTCGCTCGGTTTTATCAGCATTTCTCACTGGAATAAATCCAGAGTGACCCCGCTCACTGACCCCGAAAAACAAGAACTCGTGAATTTCTTAATTACTTTAAAAATTATTGAAAACTTGAACTTATTTTTGTGTATGATTGTACCAAACAATTTCAGTAATCTAGAACGTTTTGCACAAAAGTTGTGTTCTTCCTAAAATATGTTTCAAATAACCTGGGTTCCGTTTTGCACCCTGTTTATAGTCCTATCAAAATACAGTTTTCACAAAGTAAGTTTATAAAATAGCTATATTCTAGCTATAAGTCGAATTCGGCATTAAAATTGGAATTGAAACAGGCTTTCGTCTAGACTTTTGTTACCTAGGAGGACTATCTATTTTTTCAGAATTTGATCGCTCAAAACTTTCATTTACACACAAACTGCAAATCTTTTTTATTTTGGTTCATATAAGTTTATAATAGCAGACTCAGCTGCAGATAAATATCCATCAGATATAAAGAACCTAAGAATAATAGACGAACAACCACCCAATGGGAAGATGTTACTTAATTGGTTGGAAAATAAACCTTTGTCAGGGTATGAGGAGTTTGGGACAATGGAGATCACTTACTCATTTCCACCTGGAAATTTGAAGGTAAACAAGGTGAACAATGTTTCTGATAAAAAAAAATGTGGTGGATTAACCCAGTGGTTTCCAACCTTTTTTTCAAGCGACCCAAATTTTCCAAAAATCTACCTAAAAACCTAAAATCTACTAAAAAACTAAATGGCATATAGAACTTCTGGTGTCGCAAAATTGAATGACTAATATAAAATAATGCGAAAAAGCTGCTCTAGTTTGTCGTCAACTGACGTGGCTTTGCTTAAGAACATGAAATAAATCAGCCGCAACCACTAAGCTTGTTTATTGCGGCCCACCCCCAATTCTAATATTTTGCCCAGCCCTACCCTAAACTTGTATTTTAAATGTAATTTGTGAATGCTAACTTAAATCAGAACTTGGCTGGTTTTCAAATTTGGTAAGAAGTTTGCGACTCTAAATGAATTTCCTCATGTGAAAGTGGCTGGCAACACTAAAAAGGTTGGGCAGGCCTGGTTAAAATATCCCCCCCAAATTCAAGTATGTTGTTTTCACAGGGAATTTCATATGATGCACGAAAGTTCGTCGCATACTTGCCAGATTGTGATGAAGGAATCCAACTTCGTGATTTGCTTTCTGATGCTTTCCTCTCGGGCTTGTCGTTCAAACTTGCTGAATTTGGATCCGGCAAAGGAAGATTAATCTGGGGTGACATTCCCCACAAATCTAGTATTGATGGTGGCCCAGAAAAGCAAGTAGCTCATAAAACCCCACCTCTCTTTATATTTTTTTTGATGTTTAAACGTTTGCATAAACTTTTTGACAGATTCCTCATACCTGTGGTTCCCAAACTTTTTAAAAAAGTGTCCATGACAGACCCCTAGAATTTTTTTTTAATGATTCCTGCCTCCCGGCCTTGTGCACTAGAATAAAACATTAAAAGATCACAACGTCAGCTAAACCTCTGCTGTTAGTTAACTGATAATGGCAGCAATTGAACTCTCTCTGTGATATCACAAGCTCACAGCTCTGTGACAATACAATGGGGCAGCGTGAAAGTGCTTCGCGGACCCCGAAAGGTCCGAGGACCCCACTTTGGAAACCACTAGCTTATTATATAACAACTGTTGCGTGGGGTGTTTTTGTGATCTCTGATCGCTCAAGTCTTCTTACACAATAAAGTCCATTTATCTGAAACTAATAATTGGCTAAGTATACCATACCTGATGTGGACTGGTAACAAAGTCTGTGGTTCGCTATGCCGTCGTATCAAAATCACCCTCCTCCGGGATATGTAACAAATTCCCACAAATTTATGTATTTACGAAAGCAGAAATTTTCTGTCTGATAACTTGTAACATTGGTAACTGGTGTATTTGCACTGACTCATTTTTAAGCTATCGATGAACAGCGTAGATATATGCAACAATATGTTTTTTTACACAATATGGCCATGACATTTTAGAATGCAATTTTTTCTAGCAGTTTTGGATATCCGGACCCGAATTATTTCACTCAACTTCGCCAAGTTTTGAAAATGAAAGGGATCAAAGGAGACCCGTGGAACTGACTTGGAAAACTCCTAAAAATAGCAAGAGCTGGTGAACAGCACTGGCACATTTGACAAAATTTGTGTACAATGGTTGGAGGGGATGTATATTTTATAAAACCAAAAAATTATGAACAGTTTTTAAACAAAAGCAGAAATTAAATTCATTGGTACAATATTGATGTTTGATATTGTTTTTGGCAGTACCAACAATTGCTATTCACATACTCGACATGAACATGGTAACCAGACGAGAAGCCGTGGTTCACCATATGATTAAGCCGTATTACGAACTTTCTCTCCCCCTGGATAAATATGTAAATCCTATCCTATATAATCCCAAAACCTAATTTTCAGGTATCATTGTACATATTTTGGTGAACTGTTGTTTACAAGACGATTTTATGATAAAATAAGTTTATTACAAAAATACTATGTCCAATCAATAGGTATTAATCTCTACTTTCATTCAGACTTAAATATTTTATTAATAATAAAGGTTTATTCTTTCCAATATACATGTGTAGTTATGAAGTTTGATCCCACTGTAGTTTGAGGCCTTGGGCACAAACTAGTGGGCAGATATAAAACTGACATGGACAAACTACGGCCCACGGGCCTGATTCTGCCACAATTGAATTAAAACCAAATTTTCATGTGATAGCTAGAAATAGCTCTAAGAATTTGCTGAGATTGCGGTTAAATTTAGTTTTGGCACGAGGCTTATCGTTTTTTGCTTTCGTAAGTAAGTAAGTTACTGTAAAATAAAATTATGATTATAAACTTTTTACGTCACACTTACACGGCCGGCCAGTCTAGCTGGTCAAAAACCATGTCCATCTCTAATATAAAATTTCCGACTTGGGATACTATTGAATACACCACGTCGCAGAGCATTTCAGTTCAATTTGTAAACTATCATTGTTATTTTAGAATTTATTTTATATCATTCTTTCTTAGCCGAGTGGAAATTTTTTTGCGACTAATATATATTTTGTAAATAAATTGTCTGTTTATACCATATGTTTTTAATATATTATCAATAAGTAATTGTAGTGTGGGCCTACAGTTGCTATCCAATACACCATCTTGCAAAGCTGTTTAACTCAATTTTCAAAAGTACATTATCAAGTTTTATTATATTGTGATATGTATGTACATTAAATTAGTGGTTCTCAAACGGTGGGGCGCGCCCCACAAGGAGGGCGTAGACAAATTTTTGAGGGGTTGTGAAGCTAATTAAAAATAAAAATATTTGTTAAATTTACCTTATCCTGGATATTTACATTTCGTCATTGTTTAGAGATTGTGATTCCATCCATATATTTTCAACATATTTTTTAAAAATAAAACATACTTTCGCCGTTATAATTGTTATTTGTAGCTTATTGTTAGCTGATTATTTTTGGGGTGGGGCGCGAGACTTGACAAATTTTAAAAAGGGGGCGTGGCTTGAAGCGTTTGAGATCCACTGCTTTAAATATAAATATACTTGTCTTTTTCTGTTTAATAACCACACCTCCATATATATGTTAAATACACGACGGACACTTTTATTATTATTTTTCCCATAATGCTGCAGCAAAGTTACAATTATCTTTCAATTGATAATATTTTGTAAATAAATTGTCTGTGTATACCGTACATTTTGAACCTATTTTCATCAAACAATTGAAGTGTAGGCTAGGATCTTTACTACTCTGTTGGGGAAGGGATGAAGGTCGATCCAAAATTTGTAAAATAATGATCAATGTTGAAGTGAAAGAGGATTGCTACGCCTTTCTAAATAAACTAACATGGTGGGTCATCTGAATAAGCTGACTGACTTATCAGCTTTCCGTCTTCTTAAGATAAACACAAAAAAATTATCCTATCATATAAATTTCAGAAAAATTGTATCAGTGCAGTAAACATAACATGAACACCCTTTGCACTGAGAGGACTGTATACTTGGTCTCTAAAACAGAGGTGTACAACCTGCTTTCGTGCGGCTCATTTCGCCCTGGTTATTCTGAGGAAGAAATATCTTACAAACTACGATTCATCATGTTTCGATTTAAACATATTATCGCGAGGGCGAGAAAAATAGAATGTTTTTATCGAACCGAATAATTCGAATATTTTTAACGAATTATCGAATATTGGGCAATTTTAATATATATACAACAGGATTCAGAACACTAGTCATTCTAATGTTGGTGAGCTATTTCGACCGTCCTTTTTTCTTTTTACATAGACCAATTCTCACGCAACGGCGAACGTCGAAGTTTATATTCCTGGGAGTACTAAGCGTTCATATCGGTGATTTTAATCTTTTGCGCCGGGTTTGAAGTTTCTCGTCATCGTTTGTAAATTAAGTTCCCAATTTTAAGCTAATTTCTGATACCGGAATGCGGATATTTATGAAGGCGATAGTTGACTATTTTACTTTTCTATTTTTCGTATTAAATAGTGAATGAAAACCCTGCAAAGTCATTTCGTAATTCCTGAATGTTATTTTGAGTTCAAATGTTTGTTAGCAAGAGCCGTGGGGTAATTCTCGCGTGGGGTAATTCTCGCGGGATTCAAGGGATCGGTTTAGCGACGTGTGCCCGCGAGTTCCGTGCCCAAGCAAAGCGGCCTAGGTACTGAATATATGAGTAGTAAAATGACATGCTAATACTTGGGAGAATGACATCGAAAGGTTATTGTTATGTAACGATACGTGCCGCGGTGTTTTCTTGGTTGGTAATCCAAGTCCCCCCCCCCCAAAAAAAGGATATGGAAAGTGTCCGCCCCTGCGTTCGTTGTCGATTGTCTTGCGCTCGCACACACATCTACTACCGCCTCATTCTAAAATATGTTAACGAATGCTACGTTCATTGAAAACGCCTAGTAACTAAGTATCAGCGACATATTTTAATTAAATTCAGGAAATGTAATTAATTGTAGAAAAAGCGTTTTCAGTGCTTGGCTTAAAGTATGCCTAAATACATGAGCAGCTTAATTTATTCTCATATTCTTCCCAAGTTTTAAATTAAAATGCGGGTCTGTAAGTCGATATGCTAACTTTCAACTGTCTATTGGAAATTGGAATCACTTGAAATAAATTCAAAAATGAAACCTCTTCGCGACACACCAATAATGTGGGACGATGGCTGGGAACCCATGGTTTAAGTGTACACTGTACAATAATTATTTAATGTTTTATTCATTTTTGGACACGTAGTGGACATAACGATCGTTTCAATATTATGTTGTTTTTTTTTTTTTTATTTTTTTTTTTTTTTTTTTTTATTTTTTTTTTTTTTAAAAAAACGAGCACACAATAGTTTTCCACTTCTTATTATGGATTGACAGTTTACCATTTTTAGTTGCAATAATCTTTTCACAGTTTATAATATTTTTTATCATATATAAAAATTGGCAAAATTGAGGCCTTTCATTACGCAGTTTACATTTGTATATAAAATATCTGGCACATAATAAAACACAGTTTATACCCTGATTTTGCCCTACCCCCAATAACATTTCTCTATGTGTCAAATTGAAGTTTAATCCATACTCAACGGTTAGCCAAGCGTTAACTATTTCCCAAAATTGCTGCACAAATTCACAGAGATAAAATAAATGTAACACGGTTTCAACATGCATATTACAAAATGTACATTTTGGACTTTGTGTTTTATTTATTCTATATAGCAGGTCATTAGTGGGCACTGCTCGCAAGGCAAATTTGACATGGAATGAACGAAGTCTGGATTCAATAGAGCAATAAAAAACTTTTTCATACAATGTAAACCAATTATCTAAGTTCCTGCACAATTCTTTTGACCATTTTTCTATTTTTTCAGTTGGCGGCAAAATTTTTTCATTACAAAGCTTATCATAAATATATCGAGACGTTTTATCAATGCTTTTAATATCTTCGATAAGACTAAGATGTGGATTGACTGGTGAGGTTTTTGATAAATTAGTTTTCCATTGCTGGGGTATACATGATATAATTTTTAAATACGCTAGCATGTCATCATAAAAACTAGAAAAACAATAATGATGAAAAACATGCGGAAACATTGCAAGTTGCTGATTAGAATCACAAATATCTTCAACGAAACAAATATTTTTACTATTCCAATCATCCATATATAAAAGTTTTCCTTTGCAAGTTATATTTTTATTAAACCACAAAGGTTCATGTAAATGACTTACATCCCTAATAATCTTGGATTTGAAAATAAACCAATAGTACAGAGTATCTCTCAAACATCTGGAATACATATTTTTGATATACACTCCATGCGGATATACATTTCCATAAAATAAAGCCTTTCCTCCATACAAATTCAAGAAAAACATTTCTATGGATTTCCATGAGACATCAATTTCGTCATTTATTAAACATTTAACCCATCTTAATTTTTGACCAATGAGAAATGATTCCACATCAAGCATATTGACCCCCCCTTCCTTCACAGGTGCAATTAATGTCTTACGTTTTATTCTCTCCCATTTTGAACCCCATAAAAATTCATGGCATATCTTATTTACTTCCATTATAAAACTATTGGGCAGTATTACTGGTAAGATGGAAACTACATAAACCAATAAGCTCAACATCAAAGATTTAATCACAGTGATTTTTCCGAGGAAATCTAGATTTCTTTTGGACCATATTTGTGCAACCATTTTCAGTTTTTGAAGTTTTGGCAAAAGGTTCACAGTAAAAAGATCCGTATCATTTCCACACACATTAATGCCCAAAATTTTAAAACAGCTAGGGTTCCACTGAAGTCCTCGGTCTTGCATAGGAAAATTTTGCCAATTATTATTTGCACCCAGGTATAATGCTTGGCATTTATTCGTATTTATCTTGCACCTTGCATCTTGCAATATTATGTTGTTCTTGTTATTTGACACAGAATAACACACCTAGTGGAAATATTAAAAAACCGCTTTTCTCTTCGAATGCTGGACCAATTGCTTTGAAACAAGACCCAGTGAATGCTACGCGTTGTATGTTTCGGTATCTGTAATCTGTATCGCGCATTATCAACATGAGCAAAGCCCATCCACTAGAATTAAAGAAGTTTATGGATAAAAGATTGGATTTAAAGTTGAATGGTGGACGATTTGTTACGGGTATATTGCGAGGTTTCGATCTTTTTATGAATCTAGTCGTGTATGATGGAACAGAGCGTAGAAAAGATGGGATCACTGCACCTGTTGGAATTGCTGAATGGTGGTCGTGCGTGGAAATTCGATATTAATGTTGGAAGCATTGGAACGGATACAATGATTTTAAAGTGAACCAACCGAAAACGACAAAAGAACCCAACACCCCAATCCATGATTTGTGCATAGACTGCTATGGAACATCCAATCCCTTTACCAAGCTTGTTTTTTAGTAAAAAAAAATTTGTCACTGTGTTATTTTTGCAATATAATTGAAGTAGGCCCACAACATCACCATTTTTCGTCAGCGAGTGTTTTAATCCATATATCTGTATAGGAAAAGCACATACACGTCTCACATTTTAATTTCAATTTATAAGTTGTTGCCCGATGTTACATCGTGTTTTTGTTTTATTATTCTGTTTTTGGGGGACGGGCACGTACTTGTACGTATTTAACTTTTTTATTAAGTTATGCCCGTCCTCCAGGTCCTCTGTATTTTGTTTGTCCCTTTGTTGTTGTTTTGTGTTTTGTTTGTATCGGAGTAACCGAATAAAATTGATTGATTGATTGATTGATTGAAATTTTCAGTGGTTGAAGATAAAATTTTTCCCCAGAAGGCTATTACTTTTATTCATCTTAAATATTTCTGTTAGCTCTGTGAGATTTGTTTTTGTTTGCTAAGACGTCATTGAACGTTCTGCGGACATCGGACGCCATTTTGTGTCCTACTGTACTGCTTCGCTTGGTGTGAATATATTTGTAGACTGTGATCTGACGGTACGGTAAACCGTACTGTACTGCGAACAGACGTGTCCATATATTTGGGCGTAGCTCTCTTGTTTTCAAATATAATAATAATAATAATCTTTATTTTGATTCCCCCCCCCAAAAAAACATACACATAACAATTAATGAACACATAAAACAAACACACAGAATAATGGGAAATCGGGAAAACAGGCAAAACCTCGAGTAGGGTTTAAAACACGTATAAATACCTGTGCCTGTTCACCCATGATATTACACTCACAAACATATTACAAAAAAAAGATAAAAACACGAACGTGTTATCGTTTCAGCGTTCGGGCGTCTGACTTGTGTTACAAACAAAATGCTGGTGCGGTAGGTTCTAATTTAAAACTGTTTACGTCGAAACGGACATGATCGCGCTGTGTTTATGAAATTGGCGTAAACGAGTGCGAACTAG